GCCCAGAGCAGAGAAGCCTGTGGACGCGCTGGTGCACGGGTGGGAGTGGGGTTCGGTGGGGGTGGATGGAGACAGGGGTGGATCCCCGCCTGGAGGAAGCACCCGCTTCCAGGGCATCAGGCCAGTGACCCTGGAGCTCACCTGGCCTCCTCTCTCCCTTCCTGGGGCTCTTCTGCTGCTGTCTGCAGGGCCCCCACTAGGTGACGGTCCCGAAGGCCCTTCCCTTGGGCGCAAATTTAGAGAGCTCCAGAAACTCAGTGGTCAGGTTGAATCATATTTTAAAGCAGTCGTTTAAAAGTCAAACTTGCTGCAAATCGCAGGAGAAATGAAATCGCAACAGTTTGAAGGAAGCCCCGTCAGGTGCAGCGCGGTGCCGAGCCCTAGGGAGCAGAGGCAGAAGGCAACGTGCTCGGCACCGCTCATCGGGCCCCTGGGAAACTGTCCTCCTGTGTGCTTGCCCGCTAGTGGTGGTGACCCCGGATCCTGGGGATACTGCCCTGGAACCCCCATTCATCTCCACGTTGAGAAGGGCTCCCCCTGTGTCTTGTGCCTGAGGCCAGGAGCCCCCTGCCTCACCCTGGTCCCACCCTCCCCCATGTTCACCGCCGATGACAGAAGCCCTTCCTGCTCTTCTGTGCTTAGAGTGCCCAGGGACCTGAGGTCCCCTGCCACGCGGAGTCCCGCTTGCTGGAGCAGAACCAGTCCTGGGACCTGGACCCGAAGCTCCACTATAGGGTCACCTGCTTTCTCTCCTGGAGCCCCTGCACTGACTGTGCCCAGGACATGGCTCAGTTCCTGAAGGAGAACAGCCACGTGAGCCTGAGCCTCTTCGCCTCCCGCCTCTATACCCGCGGACACTATGACCAGGGCTTGCGCACCCTGAAGAGGGCTGGGGCCAGCATGGCCATCATGACCTCCAGGGGTCAGTGTGGGCCTCCCCGGGGGTGGGGGGCCAGAGGGCAGGGAGAGGCCCGGCGGGGGCGGGGCGGCGCTGCACGGGGGGGGTGGGCAGGAGCCGTGTCCCTGGCGGTAGGGCCTGTTGGCCGCCTGCAGAGGAGAGGCTAGAGCCTGGACGGCACAGGACAGCAGCGTCGGCGGGAAGAGAGCCGTCGGGGCAGGACAGGGGTGTCCGCAAGGGGAGGGAGAACGGTGGGTGGACAGGGCAGAGAGACGTGGGGCTTCCAGGAAGAAGGGGAGTCAGGCTGGCCCAGGTTCCAGGCTGAAGAAAGCGTCCCGGGGGTCAGGGGAGTGCTAAGGGAGGACAGAGAGCGGGGATGGGGATGCGCTTGGGAGGAGCACGGCCTGTGCCTGGGAGTCAGACACCCTGTGGCCCGCGGCCCTCCCCAGAGCCCAGCTCTCAGCCCTCCCCCGCCCCGCTGCAGAGTTTGAGCACTCCTGGACCGCCTTCGTGCACCACAAGGGAAACCCCTTCCAGCCCTGGCCAGGTCTGGCCATGGAGAGTCGGAAATTCTCTGAGAAACTGCAGCGCATTCTCTGGGTGAGGCTCCTCCCTCCCTCCCTGCCACCTCCCCCGCCCCCCCCCCCCCTCTCCCCCCCCCGGCCTCTTCCTGCCCTCTCAGAGCCTCCACTGGGTTACCTGCTCCCACCAGGGAGCCGGCTCCACCCTTCCCGCCCCCCCCCACTCCTCTGCTCCCTCACCTCTTGTGTCCCCTCCCTTCCCCATCTCTGGGGCAGCCAGACCCCTTCTCTGCTCCCTCTGCCCACCGGTCCCCCGGCCCGCCCCATGCAACTCCACCTTCTCCTCCTGGAGCAGGGAGCCTGAAGGATGGACCTCAGTCTGGCTAAAGACCACAGGACAGGGCGCCTGGGTGGCTCAGTCGTTCAGGGCCTGCCTTCGGCTCAGGTCGTGATTCTGGGGTCCTGGGATCGAGCCCCGCATGGGGCTCCCTGCTCCACGGGAAGCCTGCTTCTCCCTCTCCCACTCCCCCTGCTTGTGTTCCCTCTCTCGCTGTGTCTCTCTCTGTCAAATAAATAAATAAAATCTTAAAAAAAAGACCACAGGACACCTCTGTGAACCGCAGAAGAAAACACTGCCTCCCAAGAAACGCAAACTTGCCCTCCACCACCATCTCCAGATTGATGCAAAGAAAGCAACGAGTCCAGGGGAAGTTGTCTTTACAAACAAAATCTGAGTAGATTTATTTGTCGTGGAAACTCTATCTTGGGTTCCGAAGATACATGATTAAGATCGCCCTCCTCGCTGTCAGAAGAGTTTTCGATTTTTAGAGAAGTAATTACCCTACTCGATTTCAAATACCAGAGCCATGAAAGGGAATCTTAAGGTTCTTCTACCAAAGGTTCTCTCTGGCAATGTGTCATGAGGGCCAGAGAGCTACATAAAGGCTTGCCAAGGTTTGCAAGCCTGCAAATACCTCTCCCTTTGCGGTGGGCCCCTAAGGGGAGGTAGGGTAGCAGTCACCCAGATTCCCTCTGGTGGGAGCAAGAATCAGCTAAGCCTCACCTGGGGGAGGGGCGGGAGGGCTCTAGAGCTCAGAAACCTCCCGCCTGCCAACCCATCCTATTGTCAGCGGCCCGCTGATCGGAAAGGACAGCCACGCTGTCAGAGAATAGAAAGAATGAGTCCAAATATTGGGGAGGAACCCGCGCATTGGAGGCTGGGGGTGGGCGGCAGGCTCTCCAGTCCTCAACCCTGCTACCTGCCCTGCCCTAGAGAGGAAGCCGGAGGCAGGGGCTTCCCTGCTCAGAAGCTGAGCTCTGGCCCTTCATGACCCAGGGCCCTGCGGACAGAGCCCCGGGGGTCAGGGTCAGGGCCCACACAGGACCGGCCGCAGGGCCGGACGCCCCACAGGCCTGGCCCCGCCCCCGCGCTCTTCTCTGTGGAGGCCACACCCCCTGAGTGGGGCCCTGGCAGCAGGTGGGTCTGCACAGGCCTTCCTGAGGCCCAGCGCAGCGCCCCGGTCCCTCCTCGCAGATTTCTGCGGCCCTGTCAGGGCCCAAGGGGTGTCCCAGCCTCACACAGTGAGTGTAAGGGGCTGGGGAGAGGCATCATTCGGGTTGAGACAAGGGAGGGACGGAGAGGGAGGGCTAGAGCACCCTGGGCCAGCGGGCAGGCATGGGGCTCCGTCGTTGTCGGGGAGGGCAGGCACCCCAAAGGGGAGGAGCTGGGGGAGCGAAGTGACCCAGAGAGAGGGTCGAAAGCAGAGGACAGGGGCACCCCGGGGGCCCAGGGCTGCCGTGGAGGCCGAAGGACGGGGCGCTGGGGGAGCAGGGCTGCCAGCCAGGCAGGGCTGCCCCCAGGGGGTGGACTTAGGGGCCCTATCCCAGGAGGCAGGAGGAGAGGGAGCTCAGCGCTGCCGTCTGCACCTGCCCCCCCCATCCTGGCCCCTGCTCCCCGGCTCCCCTCCAGGTGCCTGTCTTCTCCTGCTGGGCTCCCGGGGCCCCAGTGGCAGCCTGCCCCCCGCACAGCACCTCCTGCAGCCTGCGTGGCTCACTCCTGGGGGAAGAGAGAAGGGGGACAGACCGCACAGCTTCGGAGCCTGTGCGTCCTTCAGTGGACAAGAGCCGTGTCCTTCCCCGGACGGGGGCAGACGGGAGACCCCAGAAGCACGGTTCCCACTGGGGACCTGGACCACACTGAGAGCAGTAGGGGCTGACCGGGGGCTGTGGGACCGGTCAGTGTCCAGGGCTTAGGACAAGGTGGGACAGGGCTGTGCGTCCACACAGGATGAGGCCGGTGCAGGACAGAGGGGATGTCTCTGCTCCCGGGGATCCCTCAGTCCACAAATCCGCCCCTGTCCTGCCCGTTCTGGCCCCCAGCTTGAGCAGCCAGGGGCTGGGAGGCCGTGCTGGGCGGGCAGCGTTGGGGCCTCGCCAGAGTGGTTCCGTCGTAAGGATAGAGGTTTATGCGATTTTACAAGCAACATCCTAATCTCAGATGCGATGTTCAAAAGCCAAAAGCAAGGGGCTCCTTTTTAGGGGAAGATGAAGTTATACAAGCTCCTCCAGGAAACATTACTTTTCGGAAAGGAAGGCCACTTGTCCTGTATTTTCACAGACGGTACTTTCCCAACCATCTAAGTCACTCCCCTGTCACATTATAAGCCCACCATTCACATGCTTTCTCAATCGTTTATTTAAATAAAGCTTTAAGTAGGACGCCATGTGAGCACCCAGTGCCCACACCCGACTTAAGAAAGAGACACAAGACAGCCGGCCTGGTCCCCGTGCCCCCCGTTTCCTGCCGGCCCGTAAGGTTCGGGAAAACCTGTCACCGCTGACTTCCAGCTCAGACTCAGGAGGGGCAAGGGAGTCGAGGGAGGAAGACAGGCACAGCCCTGGGAGCGGGGCCGGCCTCTGGCCCGCAGGGCGTCCGCTGCCCCGCACCTGAAACCCGACTGTGCCCACAGCTGCAGGCCTGCTTCCCGACCCCCGGCCCCAGCATGTCATACTCGTTCCCCCAAGTCTGGAACATGTCATAAAAGGAACGCATACTCTTCAAATACTGGGAGGACGGCATCCATATTCAAAAGGATGAGTCATACCCAATCTTCTGTGTGCGGAGAAGCCTTGATTCGCTTGAGCCAAACGATCCTCTAATGGAGCACACTGAGGTTCTTTCCAAATGTTTGGTATTCTCAAGAAGGCTGCGGCGCTGAGTTTTATAGATGCTCTGGCATTTTGGACAGATGGTGGGAGGAAGTCCCCAAAGACTGGATGCTGAAGCTTCGGTGCGCTTGGACAGACTTTCCTGTGACAACCTGCTTGGAGCTCCTCTCCCACTGGAGGCTGTGAGAGGCGCCTGGGGACACCCCCCACCCCAGGCGCTCCTGCGTCTGGGGTGTCCTGCCAGGGGAGGAACAGGACCAGCCGGCGGCCTGGGAGCAGATCAGCCCCAAACGAAGCCCGGCCACTATTCTGGAACAAACTCCCTGTGTTCCTGAGCTCGCATCACTCTGGAGGAAGGCCCCACCTGCCACAGCTGGGCTCAGCAGAGTCACCCAGTTAGAGGGTCCCATGTTGGCCACGTAAAGCTGCTCCCTAAAGGAGAAGGGGTTCAGGTTGGGACCCGTGGGGTCAGGGGCCGCGGGCAGGGGAGAAGCCCAGTGGCCAGGGGGACAGAGGATCAGCGACCTGGGGCGGGGGCCCTGGGGACAGTCATCACACATAGGGGGCCTGAGGGAGGGAGCAGGCAGCCTCTGGGTCTCAGGGGTGACCATGTCCCCAACCCCCACAGAGGAAAGCATGAGATGTGCCCACAGGGACCAGCTGAATTCAGGGCTGGGCTGCCCAGGGGCCACCAGCAAAGGTCACAAAAAGCTTCCCAGGCTGGTCCCAGTGGTTGGAGACACAGAGACAAAAAAGCACCTGCCTGGACCCCAGAAAGCCCTCTGTCCCTTCCCTTTTCCTGCCTCCGGTAGCCAGATGCCCCCGGAAGACTTTGTCTTTCTCGGACAGGCGGCGGGTGGCCCAAGGCTTACCGACGTTACCATCTGGTGCAACTGGCCGGTGATGCCCGTCTGGCTTCACAACCGTGTTCTTCACAGTCAGGCCCCGGGCAGGGACGTGCAGGGAGAGGAGTGCGGCTGGCGGAGGGCTCTTCTCAACCACGCGCCTGTCCTCCCAGCATGCGTAGCGCAGAGGGCCTGGCGGCCTGGCGGCCTGGCGGGGGTGGGGGGGGCGACAAAGATGGACCCCCCCCCGTCCTGAGTCGTCCCCTCGGCTGGCGGGGCCAAGTCCAGACTGCGGGGTATGCGGGCGGATAGAGGGGGGTCTGTGGGATGGAGAGGTGAGGTCACCGGGTCCGCCCCCGTGTGCTCCAGACTGCGATCTCCTCGAGGGCAGGACGGTGCCTGGCCCGTCCTTGCATGCCAGGTTCCCGCCGGGGTGGGACCCCGAGTCCGGGCTCCTGGGTGCTGTTGAACGGCTGGGGGACACAGTGGAGGACTGACCCGGCCTTGCCTTCCCCGTGGGCGGGAGTCTCGCCATGTGGAAATGCGGCCCACACGCTTGGAGAACATTCTGGGGGGAAGCTGGAAGCACACGGGGGCTGCCGGGTCCCATGGTACATTTCCCAGAGCCCTGGTTCTGATTGTGCCCAGAAGGTCTAGGTTCCTGACCTGAGCACCGAGACCCTTGCCTGAGGACTTTGTAGGCCGGACCCCCCACCCCAGGTCATCCCTGCAGATGGGCAGGAGCTGGGACCCAGCACGGGGTGGGGGGTTTCCGGGGATCAGCGGCCCGGCAGGGGTGGTGGGAGTGCCCAGCCAGCCCCCAGAGGGAGGACTCTGGCCTGTGGGAGTGTGGGGCAGGGCCCGGGGTAGGTGACACGGGGGACAATTTCAGCGTCCCTGTGAGGGCGAGGGGGCAGCCGGGGGAGTGTGTGGTGGGCAGCCTCTGCTTCCTGCAGGGAAGCTGCCTGTCTCCTCTCCCACCACAGAGTTCACAGGATGCTGGCAGGACTCAGGGACCCCAGGGAGGCCTGTGAGCCCTGGTGCGGCCTGCACCCAGGTGCTGGAAGGGTCGTGCGGTGGGACGCCCTCGGCCCCTCTCTTTCCCATGTCCCCCCTCACTGGCCCTTCCTCCCCTTAGGGGAGACCCTCCTTTCTCCCCCAGGTTCCTGCTGCCTCTTTCCGGTCCCTGTGCTCCCTTCAGCTTAGCTCTGCTGTCCCC